TAATAGCCAAAAAGTAGCAATGACTCTAATGCCTATTATCTTATAAATGGATAAAGAAAATATGATACACCCCTATAAAAGAATGTTATTTGGCAATACAAAGGAATGAAGTACTGATACATCATGCTAAGAAAAATAAACCAGTCATAAAATATGACATATACTGTGATTCCATTTATATGAAATATCCAGAATAGGTAAATTCATAGAGACAGAAAGCAGACCAATTAATGGTTGCCTAGAGTGGGAGGCAGAGACAAGGATAGGAAGTGCCTGCTACTGGGAAAAAATTTCTTTTAGGGTTATGAAAATATTCTGAAATTATTATGGTGATGTTTGAACAACTACAAAAATATACTAAAACCTACTGAATTATACACTTTGGTGATTTTTATGGTATGTAAATTATCTTTCACCAAAGCAGTTTAAAATTTTTTAGATTTCTTATGTTTAAATTATGAAAATTTATAGTAAGGCTGATTTTCATTATCCCTTTTTTTCTACTTCTGTACATTATTAAGATGGCTTTAAAATATTTATTTAAAAAAAGGCTCATTAGCCCCAGATGGTAAATGGTGATGACTATTTTTCTTAGTATACTGAGGATTAACCAATCTTCTTAAAAGGACGTTTATATTGTTAGTAATTTTTCACTATTATAAATAAAATTGCTTTCAACATTTTTGTGTATACATCTTGGTAGAGTTGTCAGATCATTTCCTTAAGAAAAATTCCCAGAAATGAAGTTCTAGGTGAAAAGGTATTCCTCTAGAAAGATTGTACCAATTTATACTTACAACAACAATGTTCAAGAGGAAAGCATCAGTTTTAACTTGAAATATGCTTGTATTAGTGCAAAAATTCACAAGGAAAAAACTCCTGTAATACGAAAAGGAAAAACAAACCCAACGACAACAAAAAAGAAAAACAATAATAATAAAAAATTCTTTCAAATACATTGGATCTCCTTCTAATTCTGGCTTTAACTGGCAAGAAATGGAATATTTTATTATATGACACTTCTAAACTGCAGTTTTTGCAAAATGTGAGGAAAACACTTAAACTTGTCTAATTTAAAAAACTATATATTTATAGCTCTGTCTGCTGAGAGGACTCAGGTAGCAGCACAAACATACATAGTGACCAAATCCTGGTTTCTAAAATACCATTTTCCAATAAAAGAAACCACGCTCCTTGGAGAAATGGCTAGGATAGGGAAAATAAAAAAAAATAAGTCTGGGAAACTTGCCCAGACTTGGAAACAACCAAGATATCCTTCAGGATAAACTGTGTTACATCCAGACAATAGAATATTATTCAGCACTAAAAAGATATGAGCTATCAAGCCATGAAAAGACCTAGAGGAATTTTACATGCATATTACTAAGTAAAGGAAACCATCTGAAAAAGTGCTAAACTGTATGATTCCAACTATATGACATTCTGGAAAAGGCAAAACTATGGAAACAATAAATAGATCAATGGTTAGCAGGAGTTAGGAAGAGGGAGGGATGACCAGGAGCACAGAGGATTTTTTGGGCAGTGAAACTATTCTGTATGGTACTATATGGAGAATATATGTCATTATAAATTTGTTGAATCCCACAGAATGTACACCACTAAGAGCGAATGCTAATGTAAACTATGGACTTGGGTGATGATGTGTCACTGTAGGTTCATCAACTGTAAAAATGAATGAATGAACAAATGAATGAATGAATAAATAAATAAATAAATAAAATAAAGGTGGTAAAGAGCATTCAACAAAATAAACAAAACAAAAAACCTGAGGCATCTTGTCGCACCAGAGAATAAGGAAATACTCAAAGGATGAGGGCACTACTTCAAAGGGACACGATTCAATCTGCATGTGTTCCCAATAACTAAAACTAAAGAAGTTTACGCAACAAAGTAGGTAACACAGTATTGAATGATAATCCAAACTATAAAATAAACACACGAGTCCATTCTGACATAAATGACCAATTAAATAAATAAATAAATAAATATGTCCATACAGAATTTCAAACACTTTGCCTCTGTGGTATTCTTTCCAAAACCCCGTATAACCCCCAGTCCAATCACGAGAAAAACATCAGACAAACCCAGATTGGGGTACATTCTACAGGACACAAAAAAGAAAGGTTAAGAAAACTGTCACAGACTGTGAGAGACTGTAGAAACATGACAATTAAGTTTTATGTGGTACTCTGAATTGGACCCTGGAAAGAAAAAAAAAGATATTAATGGAAAAACTGGTGAAATCCGAATAAAGTATGGAATTTAGTTAATAGTAATGTACTAATACCAGGTTCTTAGTTTTGACAAATGTGAACATCTTCCATTACCGTGGAACAATATGGGCAACTGAGTGGGGGGTATGCAAAAACTGTGCACTACTTTTGCAACTTTTCTTTATATATAAATTTTTTTCCAAAATAGAATGTTTATATACAAAACAAACAAATTTAACTTTAAAATGGAGCCATAAACCTACTAAACTAATATAGATATCCTTTCGAAAAATGGTAACCTTCTAAATTTAAGTATCATTTACTCTACATAAAAAGTCTGTTGAATAAAATTAAATAAAAACAAAGCTGAGGGAAAGAGGATTAACAATTTCTTATTGGAGATTAAATCATGCACTAATCAGAAACATGATGTACTGTATATTGACAGTACTAAAATTACACATATTAAACTAAGAACATTTGACTGACATTATTTGAAATACTCCATAACACATTAAAAAGCAAAAAACCTAATATTCCACCAATTTAATCTTCTGTCAAGTTTCACTGTACACTGTGTTCTGTGGTTCACTGCACTTTTTACTGGGAAAGAGGTATATTTAATAATACACTAGATTATAACAGGGAAACAAACATTTAGTAAAAATTTACCTTTCACATATCATGATATTTCTTTTTTTTTTATTGTGGTAAGAACACTTAACATGAAATTTACCATCTTGCAGACTTTTTTTTTTTGGCGTTAGCCAGTATGGGGATCAGAACCCTTGACTTTGGTGTCCCAAGGCTACGCTCTAACCAGCTGAGCTAACTAGTCAGACCACATGACATTTCTGAGACGGGAGACAACTTGCCTCTAACTTAAGAAATAAATATTTATTTATTTTTTATTTTTTATTTTTTTTTTCCTTTTTGTCTTTCCTCGTGTCCGGCAACGGATCGCAACCCTCAGTGTTGCGCCCGTACCGGACCGGGACCGGCAACGGGATTGCAAACCTCAGTGCTGCGCCCGAACCTCGCTCAGCCAGTGAGCGGGAACTGGTCTGTATGTGGGATCCGAACCCTCGGCGGGAGCGCCGCTGCGCTTCCCAAGCGGCGCACTGTAGCAGTGCGCCACCGGGCCAGCCCCTAAATATTTATTTTTAAGAAATAAATATTGAAAGGCTGTTAAGAAAAGTTATCCAAACCTTGGATATAAGGCCAAAAAGTAGAAGGTCTTAACAAGAGGATGTCCTTTCAATGTAATATGGGGACACAGACCCATTCGAAGGTTATTTAACTACTTAGGGGAATGTACTTGCTCCATAATTCTATCTACTATGGAATTACATATCCCAGGTGAAGTGAAGTTACATGTTAACTTTTAGATTTTTGTTCAGTTAGAGTTGCAAATAATTCCTGTCAGATAGAAGAGATAATCCCAAAGGTTAGGGATTACTGGTCTGTAAGACATTAACCAATTTATAACTAACCTAGCAATCTTATTCCAATTATTAAATTGCTTATGAATACAGAGCTCCTCAGATGCTCTTTGAAATAGGATTACTATTTTACTTGTTCCCTCGGTAATTAACAAATTAAATAAAATCTTTGATACATGTTCACTTGATATTTGTACAAGTTATGTTCTTAATTTTTTAAAATTATACTTTGACAAGCACAAGAAACTTTCCATGACATGGCTGACATGGCAAATGCAGCTCTGCAAATCCTACAATCTCACAGTGCTATTAAATGATAGTTCTTCTGCATAGTATTCTGATAATATTGTCAACTATTTGGTTATTATCAAATAATACCTTTCTGTCTCCAAGACAAATCAGAAAAGAATCTAAAGTATATTTTATTTTCAAGACCATCTTTATTCCACCACTGACTTTTCCATCCTGCCAGCAAAGTATGTACAAAAATAAACACGCAAACTACTCTATTACATTCCTTTGAGTTTTCCCATCTGTGTATTTTACAAAAATGAAAAACATGTAAAGATTCCCTTCTTTTCACTAGAGCTGTTTCTTGAAGAGATTTTTAAGTCCCTATTACTAATGAGAAAACAAAGATGTATAAAGGAAATTCAGTACTTGCTGAGTCAGCATTAGGAAATTAACCACGCAATCACAGAATTTAGATTTAGACAGGACTTTAAAGATCTTCTGGTCCAATCCCCTGTTTCAATGAAAAGGAAAGTTGGGCCCAAAGGAATATAGTAACTTTCCAGAGGACAGTGGCTAAAATTCATGTGATCTGACATAAGACTTGCTACTTTGTTGTGCAATTCTCACAATGGATCTATTAGTTAATGTTACTTAAACCAATTACTGAAAAAATGTTTTCTTCCATCTGTTCTAGGTACTTATCTTTTAAAAAGGAAATGGGCTTATACCTGGTTCAGGTGTGAACTATGAACAGCCTTTACTTCCATGAGTATGATTAATTACATGTAAATTATGATTACATGCTGGAGATTTAAGCAGGCAAGATTATTAAAAAGAAAAAGTCACACATCATATTCTGTGTTACATTTTTCACTAAGAACAGAATTCTAGACTGATGTGATATTTTTAAGTAAGAAATCTGGATATTTTCAAATTGTCAATCTAAATGTACTTTTGGTAAATTCAAGTGAACTAATGATACAGACTAATTTCAACTTTTAAGTTTGAGCACTGGGAAGAAAAGCACAATTTTACTCTCACCCAAACCAGAACCAGTAAAAGCAAAAGAGAAAAAAAGAAAATTCTGTACCCTGACATCACTTCTAGATGAAGTTGTCCTGAGACAGTTAAGAAAGCAGGAACATTGAAGAAATTCTCCTCAGGTTCCTTTATTTTGCTTGAAGACTGCAAATGAAAAACATAAGCCACAAAAAGCTATTACATGTTTTGCTTTGCTTTTCACATTCACATATGTGCCACAACTAAAAATCATAATGCAATTAAACCTATGTGAGGACAAGTCATTCTCATGAAAATAAAGACAGTTCTTACCACACACCTAAAAGAGAAAATACCTGCATGGGAAGCACTAAAGTCAAGAAAGTTTGCTCCATATTTTCAAAACATAGAACAATCAAAGGACAAAGTACTTTTGTCACAAACTGCACTCCCCTCCCCCCCAAAAAGTGATTTTGATTAAGGGGCAAGCTGAGGCAAGGAATCTGAATTTAAAATTTTAAATATGAAGAACTACATAATCTCTTAAAATTTTGAGCTATGATTGAGACAATTTTCTCAAGGGAAGAGTTTCTGGAACATGTGTTGTTATATTTTTAAAACATTAATAATAATGCTTTTAATACAGACTTTTATAAATACATTCTAAACTTTCAAACACATTATTTCATTTAATTTTCATTGCAACTTAGGGGTAGAAAGAGCAGGACCTTATCTTTAAAAGATACAATAAGCAATTAGACATTTATGAACTTATAATATAGACAGGGTGATTATTCCATTTGAAACATATAGAAAACAAGCCAGCCAACATTTATAAAAGTTAAGCTAAAAAACTATTTGGAGTTCAAACACAATTTAAACAGTATAATTAAGAAAGCTTCTGAATCAAATTATGACTATCATACCTACCTTTTTGGAAGAAATTTAAATTACTTCCTCTTGTATTTCAATCTGCATTTACTTGAAAATGTTTTAGTATAACAGTGCAATTACTACAAAGGCAACAAAACAAATTTTAAATATGTAATAGAGAATGTAAGACTACTTTTAACTGACGTAGTACCAAATATTAGAATTATGGAGACGTGAAATGAAGGTCTGTAATTTTACTGGTTGTTCTAAAAATATTGCATATCATATATAGGTGTGTGTATAGATTAAAAATGTAATGTGAAAATTACTGCTATGCATCAAATATGTCCCATGTATCGGACATGTATTGGAAAGTTCACGTATTGGAAACTTGATCTCCACTGTAAGAGGGTGGGAAGTGGGGCCTTAGAGAGGTCATTGGATCATGAGGACTGTGCCCTTATGTACAGATTAACCCATTCATGAAATAATCAGTTCTCATGGGTGCGGTATTATGGCTTCACAGGGAGAGTGAGCTAGGTTAGCTCTCCTGCTCAGCCCATTCTTGCGATGTGACATCCTGGTTGCTAAGGGACCTATAGAGTTCCCATCCAGAAGAAAGCCCTAACCAAATATGTTCCTTGGACCATGGACTTCCTTCCCAGCCTCCAAAACTGTAAGAACTAAATGTCCTTTCTTTATAAGCAACAGAAAATGGACTCATACAATAACCAATTGAATTTTTCATTTATATTTGTAAATTATTTTCCAAACTTACTTTGATACTAGTTCTAGAGGTTCTATCAATGCTTTTTGGTAAAAAGAAATCCATCCTTATATTCCATTATCAGTAAAAGTTTGTTTCAAAGGACCTATGTACTCAAGACTAAATACCTGACCTGACTGACATACGTTAGGATTTCAAAATAAAAAATGTTTTCTGATATTTCTTCACTAATTATTTACTGAAGAATTGCTTGCCAAATAAGGCCTAGCAAATTTATAAGACTACCATACTCCTTCTCTTTTCCTTCAATCCTTTAGTCTATATTTGTATTGGTGTTTTATCGCAACTTCAATTAAGGTGATTTTTCTCATTCTTTGCACAGTTGGCCCTCTGTATACATGGGTTCCGCATTCATGGATTCAATTAACTGGGGATCGAAATATTGGCAAAAAAAGAAAACAATAAAAAAACAATACAGTGCTGGCTGGTTAGTTCAATTGGTTACGGCATGGTATTATAACACCAAGGTCAAGGGTTTGGATCCCTGTACTGGCCAGCCACAAAAATAAATAAATAAATAAATAAATAAAACAAAAAAAATACAGCAATAAAAAATAATACAAATATAAAACTGATATGGTATAACATAACTTTACATACATAGAGATTATTTAAAGTATATGGGAGGATATACATAGGTAATATGCAATACCACACCATTTCATATCAGGGATTTAAGTGTCAGAATTTTAGTATCCACAAGATGGGGGTGAGGGACTGAGGTAGGGTTGAAGGGGGGTACTGAAACCAAGACCCAGCAGATACAGACAGATGACTGTACATATAAAATAGTCTGGTATTCATGACTAGATTTTAGTCTTTCATTTATCAGCACTTGTACAAAATGGATTCTGATCTTACATCTCCTAAATCCAATTTATTTAAATGGGTGCAAACATACTGCCACCTCATTATGATTTCTAATGTCATGTGAGCATTTACATACTGAAATTCATACCACTTTATTATAAACTACTTCCCTTTATTTCTCCTTTATACAATTAAGGCATTACATTGATTTTTAAAAACTTCTGTGTGTATTAAGTTATATAACCTATAAATCTTATTTCAGAATATTAAAGGGGCATTAAAAAACATTTATTTTAAAAAGTAATTACTGAGAGTAAAGTCAGCAAAATTGGTAAGGTATGTACCTCCAAAGTCCTGTCCTACTACAGAAAAAAAAAAACCAGAAAAAATGAGCAAAAAGTGTCAGAATTTTATTTGGGGGTAATGAAAATATTTTGGAACTTAACAGAGGTGGTAGTTGTAAAACACGAATGAACTAAATACCACTGAAATACACACTTTAAAATGATTAATTTTGTGTTATATGAGTTTCACCTCAATTCTTTAAAGTAATTATTGAATTGAGGGGCCGGCCCGGTGGCGCACTGCTACAGTGCGCCGCTTGGGAAGTGCGGCGGCGCTCCCGCCGAGGGTTCGGATCCCACATATAGACCGGCCGCTCACTGGCTGAGCGAGGGGCGGGTGCAACATCGAGGGTTGCGATCCCGTTGCCGGTCCCGGTCCAGTACGGGCGCGACACTGAGGGTTGTGATCCGTTGCCGGTCACGAAAAAAGACAAAAAGGGAAGAAAAAAAAAAAAAAAGTAATTATTGAATTGAGAAACTACTAACGTAAGATTACAAACTTAGGACTGCAATCTTAAATACTTCTGTTAGTAATAAAGAAAGAATAAAACTATATGAATTAAGCATCCAACTTTGTGACTTTGCCAGTGGGAAAGAATTTCTTTAACGAGATTCCCAAATCACAAATGATATACTGAAAAACTGATGAATTTGAGTACAATGAAATTAAGGATTTCTATTTAATAAGGGGAGATACAGGCAAAGTTAACAGATGAATGACTGATTAAGAAAATATTTGTAATACCTAAAATCAACAGGTGTTTAACAGAATACATAAGAACCTCCTGCCAAAAAAAGAAGAAAGAGAAAATAATCTGCTCCCCAATTGGGAAAGTTGGTTTATGGAATGGAAAACTCAAATGGCTAAGATGCATGTAAAGAAATACTTAAATTCACTAGGAATTAGAGAAATGCAAATTAAAAGAAGTCATTTTAAGAAGAATCAGATTACATACATCAGATTGATAAAAATTAGAAAGTTGTATAATATCAAGTGTAGGTTCAGATTCGGGGTGTGGTAGGCAGAATTCTAAAATGTGCCCCCACAATTCCCAGCCCTTGATTATTTAATCAAACACTAATCCAAGTACTGATGTGAAGGGATTTTGCAAATTGAATTAAAGTTCCAAATCAGATGCTCTCAAGGTTGAGAGATCATCTGAGTGTGTCTCACCTAATCACATGAGCCCTTTAAAAACAGCAAGTTTTCTACACATGGCTGCGGAAGAGGAACTCAGAGATGTGAAGGACAAGTCATATTCAACATGACAATGCTGCTGAAGATGGAGAGGGACACAAAAACAGGTAGTGAGAGCACTGTAGGAGCTGACAGCAACCTGGCCAGCAGCCAGCAAGAAAATGTGAGCTTCAGTCTTGCAACTGCAAAAAACTGAATTTTGCTAATAACAGGACATTTGGAAGAAAACCTCAAGTTCCAGATAAGAACGCAGCCAGCTGACAGACTGGTTTCAGCATTGCAAAACTAATAATCCTTGTAAGTAGAAAACCCAGCCATGTTATTCTGAACTTCTGACCTATAGAATTGTGAGCTAATAAATGGATACTGTTTTAAGGCACTAAATTTGTAGTCATTTGTTACAAAGAAATAGAAAACTAATTCACAGGGAAACAGGAACTCTCAGGAACTGCTTGGTAGAAGGTAAACTGGTACTGCTATTCTGCAGAATTCAGTGAAATTAAGAATGTATAAACCCTATGACCGAGAAATTCCACCCCTGGATATACAAGAGTACTTCATAAAGTTTGTGGGAAAATGGAATTAAAAGGTTATATGAACCTTTCCACGAACTTTTTGAAGCTCCTTCGAATACAGTATTCTAGAGAAATTTTCACACAGATCCATTAGGGAATAATGCAGTATTTTTTTCTGGGCATACCTTAGAATTATAAACAGCCTAAGAGTTCATTACAAGGAGAACAGGTAAGTAAAATGTAGAAGACACATACTATTGAATATTTTGTAGCAATTAGAAGCAACAAATAGATTTACCTACAACAACACTGACAGAATTTCAAAACAGAGAGTTAAGTGGAAAAAAGCAGGAAACAGAAGATACATATTATTATTATTACTCTACATTTAAAACACATTCAAAATAGCACTTATATTTATGAGGTCACATACATAATAAAGGAAATAATAAGGAAATTAAAGTGGCTGCCTCCGAGAGGAAGAATAGGGAATGGGAATGGGGATGAAGAGGAAAAAATAAAACATTAAAGTGGCTATGCTGGATTGTGTATTATCAGTTTGGCATTACTACTCCCACCTAATGCTGAGACTGTTTTCCTGTATGGTTCCAGGTTACAGATGGCCTAGGGAGAAATTTACATGAAGTTGAAGTTATTAC